GATTTCTTGGTCTCCCAAGCTATGAGAATTAAATTTCCATTGCATTCAACTTGTGCTATTTTGTTACAGCCTCTCCCAATGATAAAAACCAGGCATGCACAGAAGGCCAATTGTGTTTGCCATAGCCCATTCAGAAACTCGCCCATTGTGAAGAGCTGCATCTAATCATAGATGACTGTGGGAATCACCCCTAATCGTAGAAGTGTAATTATGATCATTTCAGGAGAATAGATGTGTCAACCATTTTTGCAAGATGTTAGATGAAAATTTCAACTCATCATTTATTCACTCATCAGGTATTTACTGAGGATCTGTGACTTTTCTGATGCATGTCACATGCTACGAACGTGGCAATAAACAGAAGCCAATTCCTTGCTTTCTTGCAGTTTCCACTAAGGAATGGAACCAGACAACACATAAGCACATAGATCCTGTATATACATAGATCCTGTATATACTCATATGTACTCACACACAGTGCCACGTGATGCTTGGGAGCATGAAGCAGGGAAAGAGAAGGGGTGTGTGCCGTGGTAATGGCTGAGCTGAAGGAGCTGCTCCTGATTCGATTCTTATCGTTGGAATGCAGACATGGAAGCCATCAGATAATGGGACATTTCTGCAAGAAGAGAAACTCCCATGCTGCAAGGAAAGAAGGCCCTGCTGCCTGGCCTTCTGAGGAACAGTGGGCAGGGAAGATCCTTTGGGAGAACCATAAAAGATAGTCTCACAGAGGGCTGCGGTGTCTGGGGGAGGATGATGGTAGTCGAGGGCCAAGTTGGGGAAAGAGGTGGGAGTGCTGGGGTGACATCTCTGGCTGCCTCTGCTTGTTAACACCATGAACTATGTTCTTCTATATACATTTCTAGCCTTTGCACATTCTGCTTCCCTACGCAGAGTATATTACTTGCATAATCAGAGGACATGAATGTTGCTGCCCTCTCTGTCCCTCAAATATGGACGAATTTAAGAAGATAACTTAGAATTGTAGTTCTCAGCCTGTGGATCATGACTATCAGAAAATACATATTTCTGCTCATCTGAAGAATCCCCAATCATAAATTTATTTTCATCACTACTTTATAACTACAATTTTGCTAGTGAGTGGTATCCCAGTTCCTCAGACCATTGGAACTATGTGTTTTCTGATCGTCATGTCCCAGGGATTGAGAAATGCTGACTTAGACATAGTAGGTAAACCAGAATTAAATTACAGAATGGAAACTTGTAAGATGTATTTCTGTTCATAATCAATTTGGTCAAGCACTTTTACCTTTTGTAATGCTTGAGTGATTCTGTTGATTATGTAAGTGGAAAGATATTGGAGACAGGAGAATATAATTTACCAGGGCAGAAGAAATTTAAAAATAATGTTGACAAAGACAGAGACAGCATTTAAAATAGCAGTGCTATTTGGCTCTCTAAACCTCACTCATTGTGTGAAAAATGATTGTGTTTTTAATTGAAAATCTTATTTGTTGAATTTTATAGCTCTAAAAAATGTACATAAAAAAATAAGCCAGGTGTGGTAATGTGTGTTTGTAACCTCAGTACTCAGGAGCCTATAATTGGAGGAATAAGGTTTTAAAACTAGCCCAGGATAAATGAGAAGAGTCGTTTTCTAAGGAATGAAGGAGTGAGTAAACAAATTTAACTATTTCCTTCTTCTTGTCTCCAAGGCATGCATGCACACATGCATGCGTACACACACACACACACACACACACACACATGAATAATGATAAAGTAAAAAAAATGTGCCAGTGTGTCACTACACACAATGTATGCAGGTGCCTCTGCCTCTTCAGGCTAGAAAGGTGCATCAGATCTTCTGGGGTTACAGGTGGTTGTGAGCTGCCTGATGTGCGTATTAGGAACTCAACTTTGGTCCTCTGAAAGAGCAGCAATCACTCTCAATCATTGATCCCTCTTTTAGCCTCAAATAATAAAACAAATATTTTTTAAAAAGTAAAATATGCACTAAAGTAAGACAATTTACTTCAGAGTCACTTACAAACTCTGGAATAGAGAAAGGAAGATGGCTGAGGTCAGGAAACTGTGGTGGCTGTGTGCTGGTTCGCATTGTATGGCCTGTCCTTCCAGCATTGGGACAACACTGAAGAGTAGGCAAGGCAACTGTCTGATCAGTACTTTACCTCAGAAAGCTCATGTGTTCTGCATTCTGTTTGAAGTAGACATCAGCCTAAAGATATACTTGAAGAAGTCAACTAGGGAATTAGTTATATGCTCATAACTGCAACCATTGTGAAAAACAAGACAAAGTATTTTATTTTCAAACAAAAAGAAGGAGCATGGCTTCCAGAAGCCACATAAAGATGAGACGTCAGGGCAATCAATAGGCGTACATATTCCCAATGAACTGAAGACCTGAAGACAAGTGACCTTGGAGCTACTCTTATGTCTTCAATCCCCATCCATCTTAGCCCAGTTTGTCTTACTAACTGATGGTTGTTGATGGTGCCATGAAGATACAGAGTGAAAGGAAAGGCTTGGGAAATCAGATGGGCTTTATAAAGTCAATGAACGTGACATTGAAGACTGCCCTGCCAGGCATGATCAAGACCATGAAGATCTGAAAGACTCACACAGTCACCATGGTGATTGACTAGCCACAGCTTTCCCCACTGCTTAAGATAAATCTCAACCCACCATTACAATCCCTTCCTCTTACCACATACTTATTTAAGAATAAATTCCTAGAGTTAAGAATAGTTAGAGTTTAAAAGATGAGTATAGGAGACATTCAACTTTTGAGAATTCTACCTTGATTCTGAAAGGAACTGTGACTCTCCCTGATTGATTTAACCTTATCTATTAAATCCAGGATAGGGTCAGTGTGTTCTGTTTGGTGAATACAAGTAAAATAATTTTAGTGGTTAAAACTTACCCCAGGTGTAACAGTTACTTGTCTGTTGCTATAATAAAATATCATGAACCAAAGCAACTTACAGAAGGGTTTATTTGGGCTTACAGTCCTAGAGGGAGAGTCCATGGTGGTGAGGAAGGCAGGACACAGGCAGCTGGAGTAGAAACCTGAAAGATGCCTTCATTAATCACAAACATTAAGCAGAGAGAGTTAACTGAAAGTGGGATCAAGCTATGAATGCTCAAAGCCCTCTCCCAGTGACGTACTTCCTCCAACAAGTCTACATCACCTCCCCTAAACAGTTCCACAAATCAGAGACCAAGTGTTTATTACATGAGCCTATGGGGAACTTTCCCAATTTAAACCATGCCAGATGTTTGTAGTATGGTTTTACTGCTTTGGCCAAGCCAGACTTGAGGTATCTATGCCATTGCGGACAAGAGGATGTATCCAGCCTGAAAGAGAGCAAATACCAAGAAATATAGCACTTTTTGAAGTTAAGCCAGAAAAGCTGATAGGATTTCTCTGGGGAAAAGTCTGGAGTGAAATCTAAGGCACTAAAAGTGAGCTGAGCTTGCCAGAAAGACAGGGAAGGAAGACAGCAGATGCCAATGTTCTGTTGGCCAGGGGCCACCTAGGTCTTTACACTGGCATTCACTTATCTTCTATTATTTTTAACCATAACTCGTCCCATCATCATAATTCACAGAAGCAACATTTCCCAGATCTCCACCTTGGTCTCACTGTTTGAAGCAGCAGCTCGTGAAAACACACCTGCTAACACGCCTTCACAGACACCTCACTTGTTAAATGCTGTCTCTTGCTCTAAAGCATCCATATTTCTTTCTCCCTACAGAACGTCTGCCACTGATCCTCTGTGGTTTTCTCAGTGCCAATATTCATGGTTAGTGGCTGCTCAGTGAAGTGTTTGAGGTACTTTTGGCAAGGCCCAACTACCTGTTACCTGGGTGAGATCAACCTCCAATTGATCTGAACTCATTATTATCAGGGACACTACGTGTATCTAGGGCTAGGAAGACCTGTGAACCCTGAGTGCTGATGACAATTCCTCACTGCCCGGTTCCTCTTCCCTATGGTATTTTCTCAATCTCCCTCATCTTCATCCCTCAACCACAAAGTAAGATGGTGATATCTGGCTTTCTGCATGAGGGTAGAGGGGGGACCTTCCCACAGAACTGGGGTCCTTTCCTCCTCTATTTCTTCCTACATGACACTACAGCAAAAAGCTATCTGCAGGTATGAGTTCCATCTTGGCATTGTTATATCAACAACCTCATTGACTTCTGAATGTCTATAAAAGAAAAAGGTTTGGATAATAGCTTTCAACCTCTGGCTCAGATTCTTTAACCACGCCCATTCTTCCTTAAGGACTGGCTTGTGAGGTTTGATTTGTCTTTTGTCCTTTTTGCCATCAACTGTCCCCACTTGATTTTTCCTTTCTACCATTTGTCATCCTTTACCCTCCGCAGATTTTCCAACTCCATTCTATTTTCCTTTGTCAACATGCTCTGGTTTTAGTCACTTCTTGGATAAGTTTGCTCATTAAGACATTTTCATCTGTATTTACATGTTTCTGCCTTTTGTGCTTTCTGATTGTTTATTTGCTGTTCTTGGCATCCCTTTCTCATCGGGCTTTCTCAGAAGAGAGTGCGCTTCCCCCACCCTCATCTCTCTTAAGTTTTGCATGCACAGAAGCCACTCACAGATGACTAGTTGACAACCAGTGTTCAGTAGACCCACTATAACCTTTAACCCCTTCTGCCCATGCTGTGCATTCAAAATGCAGCTCTTATCTCTTGCACCCACTGGCCCACAGTGCTCTCTGCCCAAACCCTGTGGTTGGAATCTTTTAATGTGGAGATCGGTATCTTTGGGCACAAACATGGCTTGGTTCGTGAACCAGAGCACTTCCCACACGGAGCACGCAAGCATTTGGTTTGCAGCCAAAGGCAATTACGTGTAAAAATCTGGAGTTGTTTTTGATTTTGTGTTTCATTCTGTGTCCTTTCTGCTTCTCCACCAGAGTCACTCCATTTCTAGGGGATTAACATCAGGCCAGCTGTTGGCTGCCATAGTTGTTCAGCGATCCATTGATCTTTTGCACAGTTTGAAGTGGTGTTTGAATATGTATTTTCTCTGCACACCTGAATTAGAATAGACTGATATCTGTGAACCATATGGAACAGCCACATGGCTCTCCACATGTGCTTGGACACCACAGTGTGTCATGGTACTGCATGCTAATTCAAATTGTTTGGTGTTAGCTGTCTGTGTCTCCGACTCCCTCAGAATGGAGAAGGTTCTTTGCTTTCTACAAAGTTTAATACTGCTGCTAACAACTCAGGCCTTGTGACCTTGCTGACTGATTGGACCAATAAGACCTGGAATTATCAAGATGCTGCGGGTGATATTAAGTGCTTCTTAAATTTTAGTGTGCCTTAGAATACCCGGAGGGATCCATCATCAGAATTTTTGATTCAATAGGTCTGGAGTTTCATTTCTAGTAAGTTTCTAGGTGCCACTGTTGTTGTTTCAAGCATTACACTTAGAAAACCATTGTTTAGAAACTGTAGGAGAAATCTAGTTTTTGCTCTGCATAGTTGGAAAATAGGATAGCGTGGAGCTTCAAGGTTCTGAACATGACTTAGGTCAAAAGATAAATATGATTTCTGTCAAAAGCCTTATGCTCCATTTGTCTGTGGAGCTGGGTCAGCTAATCTTCATTGTGAACTTGAGGGGATTTAGAATCTCCACGTGTAGTGATTTAAATGAGTCTTGTCTGTCCCCGCTCCTACACTTGGATATTTGAACACTTGGTTTTCAGTTGGTGACCCTGTTTTGGGGGTGGGGCACAGCTTTGCTGAATGATTTCTGTCAATGGGGGAGGGATTTGAGAGTTCTTCACTTCAGCTTACTTACGGTTGGCTTTTTCTGCGTCACATTCTGCGCTGAAGATGTGCTCTCTCTCAGCTTCCTGTTCCCACTGCCGTGCTTGCCTGCTGTTAGCTGTAACGAGCCCTCAGCCATTATGAAGCTATAAATGAAAACAACTCTTCTGTAGGTCACCCTGGGTCATGGTGTTTTGTCACAGCAACAGAGAAGTAACTAATATGCCATGGAAACAAACCTCAGGGCACGGCTGTGACAGATTTTCTAAATTAGGCTGATTGAGGAAGGGAGATTCACCCTAAGTGTGGGTAGTACTATCCCATGGGGTGGCATGCCTGACTGAATAAAATAAAAAGTGAACAAAATACCACTGTTAATTGTTTTCTGCTTCCTGATTATGGATGCAATCTGACCTGTTGCCTCCAGTTCCTGCCTTCCCACCATATTGGGTGGTATCTTTTTGAACTGTAAGTCAGGATGAACCTTTCTTTCCTTAAACCACTCTTGCCAGGCATTTTGTCACAGCAATAACAAAGTGAGACACATGGGGTCAGCAGGCTCTGTGGTTTATATGAACACTTTATGAGTTCTCTTCTGGGTCCCGTTTTTAGATATTAGATTATAAGTCCAGGACAGGAACACTCAGCTTAAAGCTCAGGTTACTTCCACCTGTGTTAACAAGGGAACGTGCCACCCAGTCAGGCTTAGATCGCTCATCTGCCCAGGAGCTAGGCATTGCTTGTGCCTATTGCACACTTATTTTCTAGGCTATAAAGGAAGACGGTTGAGGGGTACTACACCCAAACTAAAACCTTTAGAGATCAAGTTATTTAAGCACACCAGGACTCCATTTTGCAGAAAACAATACCCCAAATCTTCACCAAGAATGTATTGAGACTGAAAGTATGTAAATAAACCCCCCTTTTGCTATGGGACATCCATTATTTCTAATAAAAAGATGACTAGGTCCCTACTTTGTAACTGCATCTCTCTAGCAAAGATTTGGTCAGTACTCTCCAATCCTCTGCAAAGACAATGAATTACCTTGTGCATCTGACAAGCCAGGGTGGCTTCACACTGGGCTTCTTAAGACTAACTCGGGACTAGATCTGAAGGGTTGGGAGATAAGGCTCAGTGATAGAGAAGTCAGCTAGCACACACAGGCCCTGCCAATCTCTAGTCTCAAAACAAAACAAAACAAAACAAAACAAAACAAAATAAAACAAAACAAAAACATGATATAGGAAAGCTGGTGATTGGAAGAATCTATACTGACATGCCAGATGGATCTCCATGATACAGGAACTTTGGCTGTATGAGATTGTATGGCTGGTTTGTGTCTACCCTTTGGGTGTATCTTGTAGAAACAGACACTTGGTGGGGGAAACACTAAATTTGTCAAACTGTAGCTGTACTCTTCTGTATTTCATGGGAACTATTATTGATAATTGGGGATGAAAGGGTCCCCCTCCTTTACATAGATAACAGTGGGTGTCAGGAAGATGGATAAGATTAACAGGTCTCAGTCTCAGTCAATCATCTGGTCACATGGAGATGAGATTAGTCCTGTGTCTAAATGAATATTGAAGAAATTACTATTTCTTTATTTTAATTTTATTCATTCTTTTATATGCATGAGTGTTTTGCCTGCATGTATGCCTGTGTATGGTGTGTGTGTGTGTGTGTGTGTGTGTGTGTGTGTGTATGGTGTGTGTGTGTGTGCTCAGAGCCAACAGATGCCAGAGGAGGGAATAGGATCCCTAGAAACTCAAGTTAGAGATGTTGGTGAGCTGCTATGTGGATGCTGGGAATTGAGCCTGGGTCTTCTGCAAGAACAGTCAATTCTCTTAACCACTGAACTGTCTCTCTAGCCCTGAAATTTCAGTTTCTTAATGGTGATGCCTTACAATGCCTAGCCAGTTCTGTTAACAGGATATAACATTTTGTTAGGGTAAAAATGTTCTTTGAACCCATCTAGAGGAAATAACTCCTTTGTCTTCAGTATTTGAACTTTAGAAGAGAAACTGAAAACACCAGCAAGTAAGAGAACGAACCCTTTTAGGACTCCTGGGATTCAACCGGGTGGCTCCAGGATGTCTAGGGATTTCAAACATGAGGCTAAGACTACTGAGCAAGGAAGGAACAAATATCGGACCGAGATAAGGAGGGAGCTCAAAATAGTGGCAACAAAGGAGAGCTTATGCAGTCTGTAGAATAGGAAGTGATGACAAGCAGAGAGAAATGAAGCTGCCAGGGAAGAGGAGCTTGCCCAAGAGGCAGAATAAAGGAATCTGAAACACAACTCAGTTCGGCTTCTAGGAGGAGAAACTATGCGAGGGACACTTATACCTTTCAAAGGTGGTTGTTCAAACACAAAGGACCCCATTTGGCTGGCGTTTGTTCTTTATCTAGACTACCAAGAGCTCTTGGATTTGTTAGTATGAGCTGAAAATCACTGAGACTGTCTTCGTGGGATTTTTCAAGGGACACAGTACTACCTTAGGGGGATGATCACACACCATTGGTGCATTTACTTCTGGGGCAGGTGACAGCTATGTTACTTCTTTTTCTTTACAATCAAAAAGGAGTTTAACAGTTTTCTTGGTATCGCCGTGGAACCAGGTCTCAAGAGAAAAGACAGAAGTGGCTGAACCATGTTTAGGGATCCTGAACCACCTAGAGTGTTTGCTTTAGGCAGTTATATTTCTCTACTGGAAAAACAGTTATATGCTTATGCAGTAACACATTCGGTTCTCTCATTGGCTTTATCTTTATGGGCACTTGGTGAGGGCATCTTCAAGTTTGTTTGTGACAAAACTAATATCCCAACAGAGACCCATCTGTCTACAGCACTCTCATGTTAGGAACTCATAATGAACTCACTGTGTTCTTGGCAGGGTAGAATGAAGTAGCTATTTGGTTCTAGTTTGAAATGAGAGAGCCGATGCGAAAGTAATTAATTTGTTTAGCCCAAGATCAGTCCTGGAAACACCAGAATTAATACTTGCCATGTGACATTATCAATGCCTGCATTCTAATTTTTATTATATTTTAATGAGGTCATTAAGAAGTAGGCTGTGCATCCAGCCCAAAAGCCTTGAGAACAAGCAGAAAATGAGACATCCGCTGACATTTAGTAATTAATCATTCCCTGTCTCCTTTTGAATTTTAAGCCAGATGGACAGTGGGATAAGATAAATGAGCAGTCAGCCCCTCCTCCACCTGAAACAGAAGGTTGGAAGACAGGCTCCAATAGGGCTTTCAAGCTGCTTCCCCTTAGGTGGAGCCAATTTCATCCCCCAGCTGCAGTCAACACTGAGACTGGCTGACTGTGCTCCTGACCAAGTTTGCTTATCATGGGGGAGAGTTCAGTAGTCATGGAAGTGCCTAGAGTCTGTAGAGAGGGACACAGACACTGTGATTAGGTCTCAGTAGTCATGGAAGTGCCTAGAGTCTGTAGGGAGGGACACAG